TGTCAATAAGAACTTCCACTTGTTTTACTAGAATTTCATAGCCGATGTACCTAGATTCCCAAAATTTTTTGAAAAAGTTAGATTAAAAAGTTAAAAATGTTGATGAAAAGTTGTTGACATTTCCTAAATTCTGCATAAAGTTTGTCAGTTTGACTGATGGGGTTTTGTTTAAAGCATGAACATTTTTATAAAAAATAACAAAAAAAATCTAGCTATAAAAACAATACAAATATTTAACACAAATCACCATGCACTCACTTTTGGTCGCTAGGGTACATTTATAATAACAAATACATTCGTTAATTACTCAAAACAGCTGGTTTCAATGATTCATCGATTGACTTAAGTCTTTGCAAAATATCGGTTAATAATTTTGTTTGCTTTTTATTAAATTCCATTTTTTTTCATCCTGCTCCTTAATATATTGTTTAATTTCAGCAAAGGAGCTGCTGAATGCATTATTTTTTGGTTCATGAGGTCGATGGCTTATGATAAGAAGCCCCATTTGGAGAGTCTATTAAAGACTTTACCTCGTTTTCTTCGTCCTCCTCATTGACTTCTCCTGCTTGCAACTATAACCATTATTTATAAGTAAAAACTACCTTTTGATAAACATATCGGTGGTCCTCTGCAATAAAGACCCAATTCATAACCAAAAAAACCTTACTACTGAACAATAACAAATTCCCCTAATCCTTGTGTAATCCATGTCTTATCCTTACTAAATCTTTATGACTGCTTTATAAATATCTAGGAAGGATTAGGCGAGGATTAGAGACATGGGCCGCTTAACAGTAGTAAGTTTTTTTTTTTTAGTTTTGAGTTTTGTCGTCTAGCAGAGAACCATTGACATAAGCATATTACTTCTGTAAACCCAGCTTCTTTTGTTCTGCCATCTCCTTCCACCATTGCTGACGGGAAGAACTGTAGAATTTCAGAGTCAATTTCTTCCAGCGGTGCAGGTCCTTCGATCGCAGGCAAATTGCCGGTTCGGTTTTGAAATCTTTTAATTTCTGCCTGCTGTTTTTTTACTGCGCACTTCCATTCGGCCCAACTCTACAAAAAATATATATTATGACTTCATCATACCTTTTTTAAAAAGCACTCATATATATACCTCTTTCCACTGCTCGGCTGGTTGGCAAGCTCCTCCAGCTGCGTTAAGCTCCACAGCAACGGCTTCCCCCACATTGCGGCTGTGCGAGGCGCTATTTGGACCGCCAAAATTTCCCATTGCCACCTTCTTGTTGTTTGTCATTAAATCCAGAAGTTTTACTTTCTGAATTTTTGTAATTTTCCCACTTCTAGTTTTTTCTGGAAGATGAAATTAATAAAATAAAGAAACTTAAGATATTTATAAGCACACACTTCACTCATTTTGCTTTTTGCGCCAAATATCACTACACTTAGAGCTACGATATAAATATCGCAAGGTATATCGAAAATTCATTTACACCACACTTACAGAAACACTACCTTGCGATAACTATGCAGAAGGGTTGCATTTTGCAATATAATTCATATCGCAAAGATACAGAAACGGGCTACTGGCCAAGTTTGACTGTTGGAAAAAAATAACTGCTATTTACTGTCCCTGGAATAAACACTTACGATTATATGAGCGGTCTCACACATAAACAGATAACCGAACTGAAATCGGCAATTGATGTCCGTCAGTGACGATAAATTCAAACATGTTTGTTTTTCTCGTCCGATATCAGGTAAAAAGTATTAAAATGGACCACGAAAAATTAACTTATTGGGTGCAAAACAAAAAAATTACATATAAAATCACATGTTTAGGGAATGTCTTATTGACAAGATTTGACCTATTTATCTTAATATTTGTTTATAAAAATATAGTATATTCTTTAACAAAAACCATATAAATCCAAGTTTCAATCTGTGTGGGAATTTATGTATGTATGTACTTTATTAAATGGATACGAGAAATTATAAAAGAGACTTTTAGTTAAACGTACGCCTTTATTTAAGACATTTTAGCTATAATTGGTCGCAACGAAGTGAGACCGGTATTTGCTAGTATTAAGTACATATTATAATACAAAATGCAAAAGGGGTTTCCAATTAGAGCGGGTAGATGCTGGCGGCTTGTTGATTCCTCATCAACAACTACCCGCGCTTATTGAAAACCCTTTATATACACTGGCGACCAAAAGTGAGTGCATGGTGATTTGTGTTAAATATTTGTATTGTTTTTAATCTAACTTTTTCAAAAAAAATTGGGTATTTAGGTACATCGGCTATGAAATTCTAGTAAAACAAATGGAAGTTCTTATTGACTAGAAACATGAATTTCTTGTTTAATAAAATGCGCAAGACCGTTTGTAAAAAAAATTAGATACTCAATGCTAATTTGTATAACATGCGCTTGTTATATGAAAATAAAATTATAGTTTAAATTAACTAAAAACACGCTGTTATTACAATAACAACTGAAAAGTACAAAATAATTTATAGATATACATAAAGACTGTAAAGTTAGTTGCAGCTTTTTGACGTAATTTTCAATGGAACATCTGTCAAAAGCGCAAAACGCAGTCAGAAGAAGAAAATATTTTAAATCAGCGCGATTTTTTGTCAATAAGAACTTCCACTTGTTTTACTAGAATTTCATAGCCGATGTACCTAGATTCCCAAAATTTTTTGAAAAAGTTAGATTAAAAAGTTAAAAATGTTGATGAAAAGTTGTTGACATTTCCTAAATTCTGCATAAAGTTTGTCAGTTTGACTGATGGGGTTTTGTTTAAAGCATGAACATTTTTATAAAAAATAACAAAAAAAATCTAGCTATAAAAACAATACAAATATTTAACACAAATCACCATGCACTCACTTTTGGTCGCTAGGGTACATTTATAATAACAAATACATTCGTTAATTACTCAAAACAGCTGGTTTCAATGATTCATCGATTGACTTAAGTCTTTGCAAAATATCGGTTAATAATTTTGTTTGCTTTTTATTAAATTCCATTTTTTTTCATCCTGCTCCTTAATATATTGTTTAATTTCAGCAAAGGAGCTGCTGAATGCATTATTTTTTGGTTCATGAGGTCGATGGCTTATGATAAGAAGCCCCATTTGGAGAGTCTATTAAAGACTTTACCTCGTTTTCTTCGTCCTCCTCATTGACTTCTCCTGCTTGCAACTATAACCATTATTTATAAGTAGAAACTACCTTTTGATAAACATATCGATGGTCCTCTGCAATAAAGACCCAATTCATAACCAAAAAAACCTTACTACTGAACAATAACAAATTCCCCTAATCCTTGTGTAATCCATGTCTTATCCTTACTAAATCTTTATGACTGCTTTATAAATATCTAGGAAGGATTAGGCGAGGATTAGAGACATGTGCCGCTTAACAGTAGTAAGTTTTTTTTTTTTAGTTTTGAGTTTTGTCGTCTAGCAGAGAACCATTGACATAAGCATATTACTTCTGTAAACCCAGCTTCTTTTGTTCTGCCATCTCCTTCCACCATTGCTGACGGGAAGAACTGTAGAATTTCAGAGTCAATTTCTTCCAGCGGTGCAGGTCCTTCGATCGCAGGCAAATTGCCGGTTCGGTTTTGAAATCTTTTAATTTCTGCCTGCTGTTTTTTTACTGCGCACTTCCATTCGGCCCAACTCTACAAAAAATATATATTATGACTTCATCATACCTTTTTTAAAAAGCACTCATATATATACCTTTTTCCACTGCTCGGCTGTTTTGCAAGCTCCTCCAGCTGCGTTAAGCTCCACAGCAACGGCTTCCCACACATTGCGGTTGTGCGAGGCGCTATTTGGACCGCCAAAATTNTCTTCCAGCGGTGCAGGTCCTTCGATCGCAGGCAAATTGCCGGTTCGGTTTTGAAATCTTTTAATTTCTGCCTGCTGTTTTTTTACTGCGCACTTCCATTCGGCCCAACTCTACAAAAAATATATATTATGACTTCATCATACCTTTTTTAAAAAGCACTCATATATATACCTCTTTCCACTGCTCGGCTGGTTGGCAAGCTCCTCCAGCTGCGTTAAGCTCCACAGCAACGGCTTCCCCCACATTGCGGCTGTGCGAGGCGCTATTTGGACCGCCAAAATTTCCCATTGCCACCTTCTTGTTGTTTGTCATTAAATCCAGAAGTTTTACTTTCTGAATTTTTGTAATTTTCCCACTTCTAGTTTTTTNTATTTTACAAAATTAAAATGAAAGCTAGATTTGTGGGTACAAATACGGTCGGGTTAAGTTTGCGCATCAGTTCGGACGGTCAAATTGTTCGATCGAAATCGGTCCGCCTATCGGATGCAATGTGCGCCTAGCGTTATACGTTGTACCAAAAATTTAAAATATACGGCACGCAGCTGTTTTCANCTGGAAGATGAAATTAATAAAATAAAGAAACTTAAGATATTTATAAGCACACACTTCACTCATTTTGCTTTTTGCGCCAAATATCACTACACTTAGAGCTGGCGATATAAATATCGCA